CTTTCATCAGCGCTTGAAAGACAGTTGGAGACTTGGCTAGATCCTATAGCATCACAAGATATTCATAATACCCACAAAGGGTATTGAAGGCCTTTTTTCCACTCGTCTCGCTGATGGAGAAGACTTTGATCGTGAATTTTAAAGATAACAGGTACTTGTTTTTAATGGTAATCTAGGTCATGCTACAATAGTCTATGCAAGCTTCCCGTCATTCATGCCAAGAAAGAAAAATCAGTGATTCAGATTGCAAGGTGAAAGGGCAGATGAACCCATTCTTCAGCACCTCTTGGACATACCCCATCGCCATGGTTTCAGAACAAGCAATGTGTAAAGGTGGCTTCTATGGGCATATTACCTGGTAGTAGGTTGATAGCATGATCAGTGATGATGTGGAGAAAATTTTCATGTCTTCTCCTTGCTAAAAAATCTCTGCCAAGGCATGATAGTGGCTGAGAACCTATCTGAGCAGAAAAGTATATTATCCCAAGAGTAAGAGCTGGGAAGCTCAACTACTCCCACCCTAAGGGGAAACATGAGGTCACGGGGGGCAGCTTAACAAACACCCCTGCATCCAAGAGAACTGAGGTTAGTGGGTCATTAGTCCAAGGGAACCCTACGATTAGGGCTAAAAGTGAATGTGTTCACTGTGTCCGGATACTTCTGCTCCCAGACTGCAGTTACCCCCCTGCAGGGCCTTTCCTGTCAGGTGTGAAATGATGCAAGGCTACGCTTGACTCTTCAGGTCTGATGTGACCTGGCTGCAGTTCAAACACCATGGTTAGGAACTCCCTACATGTCTCGGGGGAGCCACTGAGACACTGTGGCAGAGCTAAGCTGACCTCCCTGCCGCTGGCCATCAGCATGGGTAAGGATGGTACAGGAAAAGGGTCAGGGGGTGAAGACCAAGACACTGTAAAGGTGCAGGTCTGTAGGTTCTCAATGGCTTCCGAGTCACTGATTGAATCGGTTGACAAAGTCAGTTCTGTTGTTCATGCAGCATGGTGCCCTGATTAGTAAGAACACTGTAAAAAGCTCAATGACTGGAAACAATGTCCAGGAAACTGAGACTTGATACTTCGAGGGAGCAAAACAGCAAGACTTGGAACTTGACACTAGGAAGCTACAAATCTGGGCCCGCAGCTGTGCAGTCAGACTGATTGTGTAGCCAGCAGCATTTCTGGGTCAGTTCACAGGTCACATTGAGCATCCAGGCAAACAAGGCTAACAATAGTGATCTAAAGCACATTGCGAGAATGACTTAAAGTGGCGTAAACAAATCCTTTGGCAAGGAGCCACAGGATCGAAATCTCCACCACTATGGCAACTGGTAGTATCACAGTAGGACAAATTTATAGGATTTGCTTGCTTCTTGCTCATAGGTACTTTACCTAGAATTTCAGATCTATAGCTACACCAATCCTATCATTAATCAAAGGATTCAGGGGTGAATTCTTTAGAGATGACATTTTGATTTAAAAAATTTAATTATCAATTATCATATTGCATTGTGCGTGCATCTGGCATCATGCATGCACCTTTTTATGCATGCACACTTCCACTTTAGTTACTTACCTCTTTCCTTTAAAGCTACAATGGAAGGTTGTAGCTATAAATTTGGGCCCCTCTCTGGGGTCCGCCAGTACTTTTTGCTCAGGGTGGGAGGACCCAACAGTAGATTTTGGGGTGCAAATAAAGTGCTAGGTCCCTTGAATCTGCCAGGGTCTCCATGCCTCTGAAATGCCTTTGCTCCTACAGTATGTGAAATGACCCCTTACCTTACATATCACATCTCTTAGTTTTTTTTCTTCCTCAACTCTTTATTTTATATTTAGCATTTTATGCTCTGTTTGTTGTTTAATCTTACAGTTTGAGAGCAATGCCTCGGCACAGTAATTTCCCTCGGGATGACTTTTTTGTGTAGAGAATTATATATTAGTGATTTTGAGGTATGCAGCCCATTGGGGATATCCACTACAGAAAAGCACGAAATCTGTGCTATGTATCGAGGCATTGCATCCTTGTCCATCAAGTTAACATCAACTTGTCATTTTTACAGCAGTGGTTTAGTGACATATTGATCCACTCTTGTCAGATTTTGAATTTCTGAAACTGGAAAGGTTGCACATGCAATATGTGGGAGACCAAAAGACAAGGTCTTCTCAATGTATAAGCAGACAGCCTAGTTGAACACTCATTAGGATGCATTCAAGACAGGTTTGCTGTCGACATTCGGATTCTGTCTCGCAAACCATGAGGAGTAAAGAATAAAAGTGAGAGAAGAACATAATAGGGCCTTTGGGATTGCTATGTTTGTGTATAATATATATGGCTGGTATGGATACAAATGCACAAAGGCGACAGTGGGTGTTACCAAACAAAGCCAAGGAGAGGCAGATTTTATTGAAAAAAAGTTAAACAGGCAGTATAGTGCAGTATTGTAGGAAAATTTCTTGGTGGCCAGAGGTGATCACAGATGTCCTCGCTCTTGTGTCGATTCAATGCCTTGGTACAAAATAAGTATTTGATTGATTTTATATCCAGCTGAAGTGGATAGTGTTAGTGGGCCCGAAAGGCTTTGCTCTGACAGTATGTTTATGACTTAATTATATTAATTATACACATTAGCAGATATTATTAAGTATATTTTTAGCCTTAAGAGCCTCTTATCTATTTCAGAAATGACCATCAGTCCATCATCTTAACTGCTTATTCTTTATTTACACATAGTAACTACGACAAAATCAGAAAATAAATAAATTCACATGGACACCTTGGTAAGATGAGCACACTCCCCGATTGCTGATGAAGTCTCATTTCCCCAGGGCATCAACCCATCTTCCACCTAATTCCTGGTTAGAGTAACTAGGGGCCTGGAGGTGATGCCAGGAAGCAGAGGGCATCAAACCGGGGTATGTCAGTCCATCCTGGGGAATATACAGTTATACACTACAGCAAATTGGAGACACAAATTAGCCCAGATACACATTGTTGGACTTCAGTGCAGATAACCCTTGAGAATCCTGCACAACATAGAGCAAACTCTACTTACACAAGGGAAAAGTGGGATTCAAACCCCCAACACTGGAGGTGTAAAGCAGTCATATTACCTACTAAAGCACTATGCCCTTCCGAGATTATTAATAGAGCATATTTCAGGCAACATAGGGCACAAGGCTAGGGCACACCCTGCACAGGATGCCAGTCTGTCTCAGGGCACATAAACACACACACTTAGACACTGTGGGCAATGTACAGACACCAGTTAGCCAAACTGCACATCTTTGGACTGTGAGACAAATCGACATGGGGAGAAAACACACACTTCAAACCCATCAGGCTACCCTTACCCTGAAGCATCAGTAAGTAGCAGTTCAACAGTTGCTGTCAAGATGGCTTCCATGTTGTGTGTATTGTCTGGTGTGGGGGAATGGGCAAGCGCCTCAATGCAACTGGTCGGTTTTAGTTTAGGGGCCAGGGCAGGGGTGCTGTGCAAAGCGAATTTGTGGGTACGCACCATTTGAAAACCACACGCGAGAAATAAAAAAGACACACACGCAGGTATTAATGTTCTTGCAACTTTATGTAACGATTATACGTAATTATACGTTAAATGAAGTAAGCAGCGGCAGTGTAACATTTAGGCTAGTTAGATGACTAGCTAATTAACGTCAGCCAGAAAATGGTTTGCTAGTTGTATTCAAAATACATGACAGGGAGATAGAAAAGGCTATGTTGTGTTGGTGTTTGTGGATAGCTAGTAAATACTGAAGGACAGAGTAATTTGTACAGGGAAAACTACAAAGCGAGTTGCCATCTAAGTTGTATCTTGCTGGCTAATGATAGCTAATAATATTAACATAAGTTCATAACGTAGCTTCACAGTATTAAGCCATTCTTGCAATGTGCTTTATATCCCCAAATGTCTAGCACATTGATTACATGGCTACCCAAGCAGACGTGTGTGATATATATTTTTTAAGGCTAATGCAGTTTTAGACTAATGCAGCATATTTGTAGGACAACAACACAGAAATAAATCAGTTGCCTTCTGATACTTGTAGCAGCATATTTACTTGGCTAGCAAGTGTAAACAGCTAAAGACAGCTAACCATGTTTATTGCCGCTGAGATGTGAGTCGTGAATGTCACAAAATGACAACTCACTGATGATGTGTAGTGTTATCAGTAGAAGACGGGAATGATGGGAGATGGGGGATGTGATTATGGGATGTGATCTGATGGAGGAAGCTCGCTCATTGGCCAGATTACCCTGGCTGCAAGTTTGCTGCAAGTTTAACAACGTGTTATTCACAGTCAATGTAGGCACGTTGTTGGTTGAATGAATAATTAATTTATACCGTACATTTTTTTGCATAACATTGGGTAGGTACATGCCTACCTAAATTGATTGGCACAACGACACTGGGATGGGGGAAGGCAGTGGTGTTTAACTTAGGATAAGCTGTATTCTCTTAATAATTAAGACAGTGATGTACAGTATGATGCAATGTAACTGCCTTGAAGCTTAACTGATATGTATATCTTCCCACTGAACGAGAAATGCAATATGACAGTGTTTCCCAGCAAAGTCCTCAGGAACCTCCCACACAGTCCACATTTTTGCTCTTTTCCAGATCCCAACACACCTGTACCAGGTATTGGGTCCTTGATTGGCTGGGAGCTTGAAGGGAGCACAAATGTGGACTGCAGTGTGGGTTGAGAAAAACTGCAATTTGATGGTCCTGTGGTTTAACTTTTCAGAAACACATCATCATAATGTACTTAGCAGCATTGCCATGAGGTGCTGATAATTATGAACAAAATATTTTGAAATATAGCATGAAAACTACTTGAAAATAGACCACATAAAGTTTGGATGATGGCTCAGCTGACTTGTTGGCACACCAGCAAGTATGGAAATGGATACAGAGCAGAAATGAAGTCCACACACCATTCAGGACCTTTTGATGCATTTACCATCAGATACTCAAACATACTGTATTACACCAGATTATTTAGCCTTTATTTACACATAGGTAATACAATAGATACAGAAATGTAACTACAAAATATCAATGGAGACCTTAGATGAGTTTACACCCTGATTGTTGTTACTCCAGGAGAATTACGAGGAAGGACAGAGACCAGTCATCCATCTTCTATCTGATTACTCTGGGCAGGGGGGCTGGAGACTGTCCCAGGTATATACTTGCACATGCACTCATAGACTACAGGCTATTTTGGAGCACACGTTAGCCTAGATACATGTCTTTGGACTGCAGAAGAGACTGGGGTACCTAGAGGGACCTTGCACAAGACAGGGCTAACTCCTCCCACACTGAGCAGAGCTGGTATTTAAATCATGCTTTTGTACTGGAGATATTAATTTCAAGAATAAAACCTGTCTGCTGCACTCGGTTCCCACTAAATTGCTTAAAGAATTTTTAGCTGGTTCTAATTTTCACAGTAAATGTATCCCTTCACTCAGAACATGTTCCAGGATCTTTTAAAGTGCTAATGATCTGAGGACTACCAAAAAAAAAATCTAAAAAAAATAATAAAACTATTTAACAGATAGACTACAGTGTCATATCTGGCCTTTCTTTTCAAAAACTCTTAAAAATTACAACATATACATAGATATTCACCATCTTCTAGAAAAAAAAAATCAGTCTGATTTCCTATATATAAAATGTGTTCGTAACACCAGGTGTTAACACCATGAGATGAAAGTACAGTATTTGAACAATTATGATGTTGCAGCTTTTGATAGAATTGACCATAAAATCTTGTTCCAGAGTCTCTTGTGGGACTTTCAAGCCCTGTAATATAAATGGTTTGTCTCTTACCTAGAATATTGTATTCACTTTACTAAACAATGTGATAAATGTGAGGTATCATCAGTATCTGTAGATGGGTCTAAGATTTCAATAGGGATCAGTGTTATGGGATTTACTGTTCTCTCTGTATATGCTTCCATTAAAGACAATACCAAATCAACTTTCAGACACTTAAATGTACTTATGTTTCAAACCAAAATATATCATGTCAATATCTAAGCACACTGTTACATTGCAATTTGGAAGTTAAAACATAGAAAATGATTGATGATTATTGGTGATTAATTCACATGAGTTTATTTCACATTTGTTAACTCAGCTTGTAATGAAGGCATCATCCTCTAGTCTGACCTGCCCTTTGATGGACATGTTACTTAGTCTGAGGCATCCCTCTTACAGCTTAGAAGCAACTCAAAATTAATCAGATTTCTAAGCATCAATTTCACAGAAAAATGTACACATGCTTTTTTATACAGTAGATTAGATTATTGCATTATTATTATGTATTACTTTCAAAAATGTCCAATCAAATCCCCAAGTTACAAAGAATAGAAAAGGTAGCAGCAAGGATAATAGTTTTATATTCCTACGCTGCTTCTCAGTCAATAATTTCAAAATTCTTCTACTTACCATATATTGTAAGGAACTACATGGGCGCACAACACCATTGAACTTTTGAATATTTCAAACTCATGAGGTATGCAGTGTTGTCTTTCAACACACATCTGCTGCACTGCCCTCCACACACCGACTAAAAGATGTTAATGTTACAGCATTGATCTTGATGACAACAGTCCCGTACCACAGCATGGCAGTGAGGCTAAGCTTGGAAGGGCAATGGGCAACTACGGTAGTTCTTATTGGACGAGAAGAAGACCAACATAAATGACTTACCTGCTAATGTTTGGGCATCCCACTTAAGTTGTATGGTTGGCGTGCCCAAGCGTGGTAGGCATGGGGCTACCATGGGCGCTCTGAGTTATTTTTCCCATACTAATCAAACCAATGCCGCTTTCATTAACTGTTTTCTGGTTTTTCTGCTTACAATGTGTAAGCAGTAGTTTATTACCTAAATTGTGTTAATTTAGGCTTAATTTGTAGGTCATTTAAGGCATGCACCATAATGCTATGGAACCTTTGACGCTGTGCAGGAAAAGCTTTCTTCGTATTGGTGAAACGCATCTTTTTGGCATTTTTGTAGAATGTTATGTTTTGAGAAAACTAAATGTGCTGAGTCACTATCCCTACCACAAGCCATCATTTATGAAGGCTACTCTTCGTAAGGCTAAATGTGCTGAGTCACTATCCCTACCACAAACCATCACTTATGAAGGCTACTCTTCGTAAGGCACTGGAACATTTGTAAAGATAAACGGGAAGATGTTCTGTGTCAGATACAAACAGGTTCTTGAATAAAATCAGTCACCCTCTTCCTGAAATCAGTCAAAATTAGTAAAGTCTACCTTTTAAGATGACAATGACTTGAAGCACACTGCTCAAGCAATCTGTGGACAAGACTGGCTGGAGATCATGGAGAACGATCCATAGGGAGGCCTGATCTTAAACTTTTTGAATACAGCATGTGTGAGATTGAAGAGTGCAGTCCGTTGGCAATCTCCAAAAAATTTTTTCAGAATTTTTCCTAAATTTGAATTTTGAAAGAAGAAATGGGCAAATATTACTATATCTAGGAAATATTACTATATCTACCCAAAATGATTTATGATGGTAACAAGCTTCTAACAGGTTTGAACTCAAGGTACGTGTATACTTATCTAACCTCTTTTTCTGTATATTTTCTTCCTTTTTTAGTTTTTTTTATTCATTTTCAGAAAATCTGTTTTTCATTTGGAGACTGAGTGCTGCTATTTCTAAATGAGTGTTGGGGACAATCTGATTTGTCTTCGTTTTGGGTGACAGATGCTGGGTTAGTGGGTCCCGGACTGCATGACATGAAGTTTACCCACCTGAGCTGGGGATTTTCCCATGTTAACGTGCCATAAAAAAGATGCTCTTAGTGATAAAATTATGGTTCAGGGTTTCTGTGGAATGTGTTATTCAGAGGGACGCCTTGGGAAGAATGGTTAGAAAAAATGAAGTAAACAGTTACGTCAATACAACCCATTATCTGCTTTGTGAGAAAACTGGACATGTGAGTGGATCTATACAATTTCATCGACAAAAACCATAATGCGGTATGTAAAAGCCCGAAAACTCCAAATACAGTTTGTTTCAATGAAAGAAAGAGTACATTATGGCAAGAAACCCAAAGACAAATTAGGGTATAGACTGAAATGTCAGTGGAAACATAAGAACCAGAGGAAAATAAAGAAGCAAAGCATCATGGGAAACCAGAGGTAAGAACAAGGAATCGTGGTACCAGGCACCGTGGGATCAGGAAGAGAATGTAGTGGAAAAGAGAGGGCAGATGAACTAATGGAGGAAGGCCTTATATTACTGACCGTCTTATCTTTTATTACTGCCATATCCTTACATCGTTTGGGAGAAAGGGGTTAGACAAATCACCATTATTATTATTTTTTTGTTGTTGTATGATGAAAATAACCTAGTCTATGAATAATTCATTTTGGTATTTCATCAGTTACATAGCAACTAACAGTACTTCAGCAAAACCTTGGAGAGGAACATAATTTATGCCTAAACATTTCACAAAATATAATTTTATAAGGTCTCGATTTGCTTGTATGTGCAAAAAATGTGTTATTGAGCTATGATTTTTTTTCCCCCACATACATAGTCTATCAAATATACAACAGCATGTACATTCTCCTACTTTATGTAGGAGACAGAGTTTGTGTCTGATAAAAAGTTTTGAAGCAAACGTGCATTATCACTGATCTGAACGGCACAAGGAGGGGTGGTGAAGGGGAATCTCAAATTACCACTTAAGACCATAATAAAAAATACCCGAAAAACATGAAATAACTTCAGAACCACATATTGTTTCACAGGAAATTATTGGTTGTTAAATTATGTTTCAGTGAAAACAGACTGTAAACCAAAAATGTCTTCATCATTGTAAGTGTGATACAGAGACAATAATCGTGCTGTAACTACCTTAAATCAATAGATACAGACTGGTCTGTTGGCATCAGATCCTCATCATCTAAACAAGGTGGGGCTTAGTATTTATCAAGCCCTATAATCCATTACCTTGGTACTGTTTCTAATGTCACTTGATTAAACTGGTTAAAAATGATCCCATTTTAAAATATCCCTTTATAGCTTTCAAAGTAAGCATGGACAAAATTCATGATTACATGATTAGGGATACCGATAATTCCAATCTGAATGCATTTATGATTTTTGGTGGAAATTAGGTGAAGTCTCCCTGAGATGGACTTACTTCAATGTATTGCCATTACTTCCAGGATGAAACGAGGAATAGGGATTGTATTACTTAAGGGCCGTGGTTTCTCTATTTTGGCGTGCCTTTGCATGTGGAAATGTCAGGCCACTACAAATTAAAAGACCTGCTTGTTTACAGCATTCAGTGCAGGAGGCTTTGGCAGTCGCATAGCTAAAGCTCTGTTGTGTGCACAAATATCACACAGTCTGTTCTTAAATCTATTCATTAATTCAGCTAATTGCCGACCCCATTTAAAAACCATGACTAAGAAGTGCTTTAGATTGCAGACTGATTAATTTCTCTTGCACAGTGGCAATTATGAAAGGTATCATACAATTTTTAAGCCTCTCTTCTCATCTGCAACCTCTGGAATTTGCATGTCTGGAAAAAAAAGCAAACAAGCATGAAAGGAAATCTGTATCCCTGTGAGGCAAGGAACTCATTTCAAAGACTTGTGGCACCATATTGTCTTATTGTTGTGAATCTATAAACATTCATGTGCTGTAAGTAATGGCTGAATAATTGTTAAATTCTGCATTCTACTGTTCGCATCTTAAAACCTGACAAGATACACTACCAGTTAAAAGCTTCTGCACACACTGATATTTTCTACATTTGCATGTTACTCACTTAACATTTACTAATAATACACTCAATATTCTTTGTTAACATATACATTTACAGTATGTTCACCATTTGAGTACCTTTATTAGCAGGGAAATGTCATATCTTTGATTCATCAAAGTAACCTCCTCTAGCAGTTATAACAGCAGAGAAAATTCAAGGCATTCTTTCTACAAGGGACATTAAGTACTGCTCTGTGTCATGGGATGACGTGCATTTACTAGTGCATTTAAAGTTAAATGACAGCCTAGAATCTGACTCTGCCATCATCGCACAACCAGTTAATAAGATGTCAGACATGCACTGTTACATACTCTTCCCATGTTATAAAGGAAACTTGTTTTACTTGACTAATATTTTCATCTATAGTTGTTCACTCAACTTTGCAATGCTTAACAAAAATTAAAAATCTGCAGTTTAGGAAATAAAGGGAAAAGTGGTAAAAACCTGTGGTGTGCAAAAATTTTTGACTGGTAGTATAGATCACATTCACAAATGATAACATAATTACCGGTAGATTTAGTAGCTGAACAAACATGTAATACGTTTTAATGTATTTAAGCAAGATAAACTTGAATTTAAAATGCTGTACTTTTCTGAGTAAACTTACCTCTAGGCAGATCCTCAGTGGTTCTGTCCTTAGGTGACCAGCAGGGGTATCGCTTGAGTTTTCTGCAAATCCTGGATTGCTGCTTGTGCATAGGGGACACAGCGTCTGCAGCCATCATCTCCGAAGGTTGCCTAATATTGCTACCCACTGCCAATGTCATAGTATTGCAGTTTTTCATTGTGACTGCCGATACTTCTCCAGAACCCTCACTCCCGATCCATACTCCAGAGCAGGCTAGTGATTGTTCTTCTTGACTCTCGAAACCTTTTGAGCTGGACCTGGCAAGCTGTCTGGTCCGTCCACCTTTTGGATGGGAGTGGATACTGGTGATGGTGGCCTTGTCCCCATTTTGGTAGCTGTAGACCTTGTAGTGGATCATCAGGATGATAAAGACCAGTACAGAGGCGACGATGATGCCTCCTATGATGATTATCATGGTGCCACCCAGGAATTGCCTGTGGATGAACTGACAATGACTATAATCTTTCTCAGTGATGAACTGGACGCAGCCGATTTGTTGGGTTGCAGTCAGGGACGTGATGTCATCATCATAGACAGCTAGTAGACACAGATCATACTCCCGACCTGAGACTAAGTCTTTCACAAGGAAGTCTTGACTGGAGGAGGGAATCATTCTGTCAATCAAGAAAATAAGTAAAGGTTACATGGTCACAATGAAAGGCTCAGTGCCCTAATAAGTTGTAGTTCTATCTTGTATCCTGTGCATTCCCAGTGACAGGGTCCACGTCCCCCATTGCCCTGACCAGGAAAAATATTTGGAAGATAAATGGATGAATAGCAAGTCATAGTATTTCCCCTGAAGAAGAAGATAAAGGTAAAGGTAGGTGGATGTTCTAAAATAAATTAGACAAATTAGTCCATTTATTAAATAATCCATTGAATTAATTAATCTAGTTTCTGCTTATTTTTGTTAAGTATGGTAGAATATTTGTGTTATGAATTCCTCATACGTTTTTTGCGATTTGTCTGTAATTTGTAATCTGTATGCATGTTAATTAAGCAACAACATAGGAGAAGGAGTGCAGTTGTACTCCATTATATCACGGCTGTGATTTGGTCGTATACAGGCATGAGGCCGCGGCCCTTATTGGTTTTATACAAAAGTTAATCAAGTGGCATTTATAAGGTAACATTAATAAGATACTGTACAGCATATTTTGTGTATTTACGAGCCGCCGTAGTTCCCATAATGTCTGCGGAAGTGGGACCAGCTATTGCTCCATACCTTCCACATACCCGGAAAATTCACTCCATTACCGATGTAGTTTAGTCTGATATCACCGGGGCCAGCTAAAGCAACTTGCCAGCTTATTAACGGAATAACTTCGTAAATGAAAACCATGCCGCAGGTCTAATAAATAAAATATTGCGGCGCTCAAGTGGCGAAGAGATCATGAGGCGGACAGTAAAGTTCATTTATTAGCAAACCGGTAAACAGCGAGTGAGAATGAACTCACTCACATACAGACGGGGAGCCTTTACGGAGATATAAAAACTTAAAATCCAAAACAGATCAAAAGAAATCCAACAAAACGGAATACATATGAACCTTTGCTCTGTGTTGGAGGAGAAGAGACAAATGTGACGGTTTTTAGATTCACCTGTAAAGCTGAACGACACCGCTGAAGTGAAATGTCCGAGGGCAGTTATACCCTGATAGAAAGCCTCTTCTCCTGTCAGATTTTTTGGTCGGAACTAACTTCTATAATATTATATTTATATAAATGTATGTTAAGTTTGAAGTCTATTCAACCAACATCACTTCCAGTTTTTGTATACACAAAACCCAGTTAAAACATTAGTTATTAGACAGATGTACCTGTAGGTTTGTATGTGAATTTTCATTATCAAAGATGGAGGAAAGCCACATGAACACGTAAATGAAGAACATGCAAACTCCATAATTGTATCCAGGTTTGGGAGCTTCAACACTAACTTCTTCATGTTCTAACCCGAAGGACCTCTACAGTTCTTCACACATTTCCTTGCTATATTCCAGTACAAGAAGAGGACCTGCCTCCACCTGTGTCTTCCAGCACTGAGGACCTTTGCAATGCCTCACATGTCTTCTTCTTGCATGTTACAGCTCTAAATACCTTTTCCACACTGCCTGGTTCCTCCATCTGGGTGTTCCAGCTCTGAGGAACTTCGCTGCACTTCCAAGTTCCTCCAAGTTGCATGATCTCAGGAATGAACCTGCTTCTAACTGCTCTGAGGACCCTTGCAGTGCTTCACACACACCTTAAGAACCTCACAATGACAAATGACAATCAAAGTATTCCTTGGGTACCAGATACTATAAACATGATGCCAATCCATTAAAATAAGGGTTTCCAACCCCAAGTCTGCAATACTGGTCTGTTGTCAGTATTCCAGCAGGCTGCAGAACTCTGGGGGTTTTGCGGAGGGGTTGATGAATTTACCCTTAGCTAACACAGGGCATGACTGTGGCCATAAGAAAGAACCTACATGAGCTACATTTTCAATAACACCTCAGAAATTACAGTACAAATGGAGAATTGCTCAATTAGAATTCAGGTCAGATGTCAGCTTGGCCAGACAGTGTCGTAATTTATAGATAAAAAAAAATACACAGTACTTGCTCTGTGTTTTTTTAAAGTTACAGCTAGACTTACAAATAAGAAACTCAGTCGGTCAACAATTTTCCCACCTACTGTCAGTAGTAATGGCCTAATAAAATTCATTTACAATGATAATGAGGATGTTAGACTTCTGATTAACCATAATTTCTGAAATGATCTTACCTTAGCATTTTCCAAATGACCGAGACTGACACTGAAATAAAAGCATTGATGAATGAAAACTACCTCTCCATTAACTCTGAATAACCTATTGAAGAAATTATATTACTTGGATGTGGACAATATTTCTTATTATTGGTGCTTAAGTTTCATGGGTTGAATTTCACATGTACTGATCCTTTGCAGCCTAAGCATCCGTCATCAGTCTGGTAAATCCTTTGACTATCATGTAAATTCACTGATCGAGACATGCTTCTTACAGCTTAGAAACAGGGCGAAAGTAATGGCATTTCTAAGTAATAGTGACCCAGAAAAGTTAACTCATGCCTTTGTCTTTAATTATTACAATGCTTTACTTCCATTATGTTCAAGTTGCACTATCCAAAAGTTACAAAATCCTGCAGCATGGATAAAAACTAGGGTTAAAGAAAGAAAAACAATTTTAAATTTCCTGGTTCCTGTTCAAGACTAGGAGTGATTTCAGAATGCTGTGTTCCAATAAGGCACCACATGGGCAAGCACGACCATATTTAACACTGTCAGAATGTTTGCAAGTCCAGCTGTGCATTCCATTAAGGAAACCTAGGTGTTCACATAATGCCAAGAATAAATAAACCTACTCCTGGCATTGAAGTCTCCACATTATAGAATAGCTTGCATTCAGACAGAAGAGATTCTGGACTCAGGTCCTGCTAAAGGCGCATTAGAGTTACATTGTTACTTCACACCTCCAGGGCTATGGATTCAAATCTCATCTCTGCTCGGTACGTGTCTCTGGAATTTACCTCTTTTCCCTGTGTTTTGTCGGATGGGTTTCCTCTGGGTAATCTGGTTTCCTGTCCCAGTCTAAAGACATCCAAGTAGGTTAACTGGTGTCTCTAAAATGCACATGTTGTGTGAGCATGTGTCCTAACATCCTATCTCAGGTGTATCCCAACCTTGTGCCCTGTGCTGCCTGGAACAGCCTCCTGGCTTCCCATGGCCTTGACCAGGATGAGCAAAGACGGAAAGATAATGATAGACAGGATCTATCCTGTGTCCGTGTAGCCTTTATAGGTCCATTATCACTGCATCGCTCCCTTGGCATTTATTCTTCTGCAAGAAGGTCTCAATGTCATGTTCTGTCTCTGTCTGCCCTCTTGTGTTCCTGTCTCCTTCCATTCATCTCTCAATTACTCACACCTGTCTCTTGTTTAGTCCTCATCTCCCGTGTGTATTAGTTCCCACTTGTGTTAGGTTCCCTAGTCCAGTCATTGTCTAGGTCAGTTGGGTTTCCCTCTGCTCCTCATTCACAGCCTTAGGTTTCCCCCTTAGGCCCTCCTGGTTTGGACCTCTCATCGTTTCGTGTTTCTCTCCTTGTTTGTATTGCTGCTGATAAATAATCCTCCTCAGTGCCTCCGAAGACTGCATTTGAACTGTTCTTGCCCTCCGATATAACACTCAACTGCAATGGTTACCTACCCCATAAAGACAGTAAGCCTTAGCTACGAAGGAAAATGGACAGCTATGGCAAATCCCACTGAACCAGAACTAGACCATCACCTATTTTCCTGCTGATATTTGGATGTCTGTGTATGTCAAATTGATAACAAATATATTGCAGTAAGAATATATGTGATGTCTCAAAATTAGTGATGAATAACAGGTATTTGAAGAGTTCAGATGGACCCAGGACATCAACCACAGCATACACGTTACTATGTACACATTTCTTTCCTTAATTTGACATGAAAGACATTTCTGGTGTGAGTATGTCAAGTATGATAAGCCTTGTCCCAAGAAATAATGGTGCTATTTACCAGTCCTCAATGGGCTATTATCTCAGATGACTACTGTGTGAGTGTAGCATGTGATTTTACTGCACTTTCTGGAGAATATTTTATATAGCATCATTGTCTTACAAATAGTGTTAAAACAAATTTGGTGGCCAGTTTCATCAGAATATGTGACGCAGAATCTCTATTCCATACAAATGGTGTGAAAAACAGATTTGATTTGCGGGGATGTTGGTAGCAATATTCCTGCCCGTGACGCCAAAGAAGCGAACACCAAGTGCAACTGGCTAGAAGGAATTATTGAAAAAGGAAAGAGAGAAAAAAGCAGCTGCAGCGAAAGGAGAAAATACGGCTCAAATTGCCCGTGCCTTGTCATAGTAGTCAATGGACAGTTTGTCGATTGAGTGTGAAGGTGGAGGTTTCCTTTAGGTGAAAATTTACCTGATCCATGACCAAGGAAACATTTCCCTGAGAGCAGGCACAACTGATGTTGTATGTGTCAGAAACTGACCTTCCTGCTTCCTGGAGTGCTTGTTTGCACTTTGAAGCTCACCTGACATCTAGCTACAATAAGCGTAATTTCTATGCCAACCATGGTGAGGACCGTGAAGGATATCTTATTGACTGCAGTCACTCAAGACCGTTTCTATTGATCCGTTACTGTTCCAGCATCCTCAGTGTGCCTGGTGGGCCGTGGCCTTGAAACATCTTGTACAAAGAATTCCACTACCGCATCCGTTTGACAGCTTCAGGAGATTAATCGATTTCTTCATGCTGTCATGGACCATCACATCTAAATTTAGTCAAACTAAACATTACCAAAACCTTGAAGTTGGTGTGTGGCCCTGCAGGTTAGGACTGTGCCTGTGATTCAAAGGTCTCTGGATAAATTCCTGTAGCTGGCAGAATGATGCTGTTGTTGGGTCCTTGCCCCAAGATACACCAGAGACTCTGGATGCTGGGTGACCATGTGGTCCATGTCTGTCTGTCTTATAAAGAGAGTGGTGAATAACTACCCCACGGGGATCTCTACCAGAAACTGGAGGCCCTTCAGTGGAGAATGAGCCTTTGCCCTGATGGAGTGAGGAAGGAAGGAATGGACGTTCCCGAGCAGCAAGACATCTAACACATTAGATCAGGGGCTTCCTACCTCTTGATGTCCACGGACCGCTTTATATCGTACAAAAATGTGAAGTACAGTACCGATTTCATTAAGTTTAACTGTTTCCATTTATTTCTGAAACTAACAGTATGTGTGAACATAAGGGGTCATAAAAAATGTAAAATATATCGTCTCTTTTTGGAAATGAACCAATCCAGGTCGGGGAGCCCTATCATAGATAATCAAATTGTGTGAAAATTAGATGCTTTTTTATTCCTCTGCCTAAAAATTGGAGGAATTTGGGAGAAAACTATGAAAATTTAATAGATGGGTTTAAGATTATTGTGGACCAGGCCTGAACATATGCAAGGAGTAGTGCTTCTATCATTTGACTGTTTTGCCATATGTTTGGGCCAGCTGCTCGATAAAAGTGGAGCTACATATCAAGGTGAAAATCACTCCAGAGCAGTCCGTTACTTTAAATGATATTTCATGGAGTAAGGTAAAGTAACGTTTTATTTATAACACCCACATTTCAACTATCTCCACACATAAATAATAAACCTCTCCCCCTAATGACAGACTCCTTGTCTATTTTTTTCTGCAAACTCAGCATTTTATAAATATTAATTTATATTTATTTATTTATAAATAATTTTTGCACTTTCGTAGACATGGGTTATGCGTACAAAGGGTATAATACTGTGTGTGCCCATTATTGTGAAACATAATGTCATATCTGCCACGCTCAATATATCACGAGGCAGCCACACGAAGCCAGTATTATGCAGCATATGGTCATTGTTTACCTTGACAACTTACACTGCATGATGCCACATCCGGAATCCAAATACTGCCACCTCTCCGGCCAAAAGACAGGAGGCTGCCAACCTCAATCAGCACCACGGAGGGCATTCACCTGTCAACGTTTCAGCACCTCTGTTTTGGACCCGCTGTCAAAAGCCACTTCACCCCTTAGCCTCCACGCCTGGGTCCCACAAACGGCTCCAGCTGGCACACATTTCAGAAGTGTCTCTCAGCAGTGACAATGGAGCCTCCCTCAGAAGTACAAGGCAGGTGTTTGGCTACGGCCTTTAGCCTGACTGTAGTGCTGCAATGCTTGTGCTGATGTGAATCAGCACTTGTTGCACTGTTTGTACAGTTACCAATGATCTAAGCCTGGGCTGCATATATAAGGCCTTGGGATGTACAGGAAGCTATAACCCTGGACTCCATTTTGCCTGCACTGTTTTCACCCCACTGAAGAATTGGCAATCAGCTCCAATGAGACCTCACACCAACCTCCACTGAGCAGGAAGTGGCCCACAACAGACCCCCCCCCCCCACCTTCCTGCCCCTTCACCTCGCACTCCCAGGTTACACAAAGCCCTCATGGAATTCATAAAAGTTTGAAACATTGTCTAATGTTGCCGTAGGTTTCTCCCCTATGTCGAATACTTCCAGAATCAACATGCAATGCTATCAACATCGATAATTCTCTCCTCCTTCCAGTGTCTTTTTTTATCAATCTATTGACCTCCTCTTATCTCTTAGTTGTAAGAGTTCGGACATCTCTTTAGTAGAAGAGTGGTTACAATATGGAAAGATATAGTGGGTGACTCACACACGACTGCACCGAGCCAATCTGAAACAACACACTGACCAATGACAATTCCCTGCACTATAGTATCAACTCAGTGAAGAGGTCTGGCTTTCCACCTGGGCCATATGCCTTCACTCTGTTTTTTTCAGTACACCATTGGTCCTTTCCTGTTATAACATAAACCATGTATCCTAAAAAAAACTCCAGGCTTAATGCTGCTTGAAGAATATTTGATGGCACTGCTGCACTTTGATTCGCCATTCGGCTTGATACTATAGATCAACATTGTATATATTATTTTCCATGTTATTTTCTTATTTATTTCTATTTCATTTATCTTCTATATCAATAGTGGGACACAGATTTTCATTGTACAAGTGTCACGTTGGGCCATGAGGGAATGATGATCTACAGAGTGGCTTACAGACAGCTAGGGGATTATTTTTTTACAAACCGAGTATAAAATAAACCAGAAAAAAAGGACCACGAGGGACCAATACAAAGGCAAGTAGGTAAACAAGAACTAATACAGGCTAGAAGTAATGCAAGGAAATACAAGCATGAGACATCAACATGCAATACTATCAACATCTGTGAACACACGAGCACAATGGCTGACAAAGGAACAGGGCAAGGGCAGGGACATAAGTCCACAAGTAATGAGGACTTGTGAGAGAAAAATTGACTAGACAGACATTTTTGTATACAGTTTGGAATATATTTTTATATTAATGGAATGGTACCTGTGTGTGTTAGACAGCTAACACCCAAGGAAAAGCTAAAGAGAATTAAGAGTTAACTTTAGTATTATAAACATGTGCTTGAACTTTATGCTCAGTAGATTGATAGACAGGACAGGCTACAGTTGAGTAGAGGTTGCTTGCAGGTGGCCAGACCCATGAGATGAATTCCGTATAAAGTGCATATGCCTTCGTACTTGTAAGATGCAAACTGCATAAAGTGCTTGCAAGATGCGTGCCCTACCCTAACCAGTTTGATCTGGTTCTAAGGAGGGAGCAAGACTTGTCTGTGTACCCCGAAAAAAGTTATGTTGACCAGAAAGTTCTTGAAGCATTACCAAGGAGATATCATCGAAGTGGTTGCTCCTTGAGCTCAACAAGAAAACGACGTCATACTCTAAAGCACTAAGTGTCATAGATTTCTCCAACTGCCTTCCTGTTGCAGAATAAATCCAGTTCCACCTTGTAGAATCTGTCTAGCCTGCATCAGTGCCACCCCTGCTTCTTTCTGAGCGCTACTGATCAGTAATGAGTGGAGTGGAACATCCATGGACAGGAGCACTATTGGATTTTGGCAATGGACATCTTGGGTTCCATTCTCATTGAGGATTTCCATGATGCCCATCCTGAATGCCTATCTCCTTACCTTTGTGTACAGTCCAGGCTTATTTTCAGCTGGAGGGTGGACATTCTGACACACCATACAGACGTCAGTTTTCCAACACAGAAGCACTAGTGATCACCCTCATTCGAATATTGAATGGAATATTCTAGTTGCACGTTTTTACCTGTGCTGTGATGTTACCAAGAGTACTTACACCCTTATGACTATAAACATGTTGGTAATTTTGGTTCTTGATTACCGTATAAATGACTCTTGCTTGTATTACCTGATTACGAGTCTGTTAATCACTTAAAACCCTGATAATGACTGGCTGACCTATGCCTAGTTTGCATTTTGAACATAAACTCCATCATTGGATGTACTCCCATGGGACTGAAATTTAGATCTGTTTTGTTTAATTATTAACAAATAAGTCACCTCAATAATTAATTTTCCCAAGTTCTAAAAAGAAAATTTGTTGGATGAATTGCATACAAAAACATAAAAATGCAATACACAATGCAGAATATGATGAACAAGAAGCACTAAATATACTTTTACCAGGAAAATAAATCTGAAAATGTAATAATATTATAACATGTAATGTTAAAATACGTAATACAAATTTTGACCATTTTCTCCCCATTGACACTCATTAATTAAAAAACTGTTACAACCTAATTTCTAGCTCAGTTCTAAAGGTTATCTCATAGTCTATACCAACCATGAAACTATGTACTCCAAGGAAAACCAAATGTATTTTATTCTTAGTATGATGTATTGTCATTATATACATACATCTGTGAAGTAACCCTGTGTTCCTGTATTCTATATATCTATAAACAATTTCATTAAAAAAAATAGATATTCAGTCAATAAATGTTTACTGCTTGTACTTATGCATAAATGGCATCAAGCGTTAGTACTATTAAAGATGGTCTTCTCACCTGTATATCAGGGTGTCATCTGCAGAGCTATTGTACTGAACTTGGTACATCTTGATCCCTGGAATGTGGTGCAGCAAAGGCCATTTTATGAGCACAGAGTTGCCTGTTACCTCAGCCACAACAAGCTTGGGTTCTGGAACTTTTGTGCCATTGCCTGATACAGACTTCGTTGATATGAGGATGTCTGATGGACCCGACTCTAACTCCTGTACTCTATTTGTGCTGTTAGCTAGGTGAGGCAGTGGGTTGACCACTAGTTCCACAACGTCTGAAGATTCCCCAGCAGCATTGGATGCTATGCAGGTGAAAGTGCCTGCGTCTTTGAGGGAGGTGATGTTGATATTGAGACTCCCATTGCTGAATATGGTAATCCGTGACGTGTTGGCGATCAAGCGGCCATCAGGAGAGATCCAGTGTATCTGTGGCTCTGGGTCCCCATTTGCTTTACACTTCAGGGAAACTGGTTGGCCTTCCATAGAGAAAGTTTTTGGAGACTTCCTGGTCATTACCGGCGGTTCACATATAAAGTCCTCCTCTGGGATGGTCCAGAAGTACTTAGCAATTAGACCTGGTGGAGATGCACATGTCTCCAGATCATCTTCCCTGGTAAGTCGACGGAGCCACAGCAGCTCACAGTTACAGTGGAGTGGGTTCCCTCCAAAACTAAGAACCAGAGAAGACAGAGGTGAACCTTTGGATTTAGTATAAACTGGAATTCTCAAAAACAAAGGATCTGGGGGAATCTTCTTCAACTTGTTTGAAGTCATATCCAAACGGGCTAGTTTATGCAAACTAGCGAAAATACCCATGGGGACATGCTCTATCAAGTTATGATCCATGTTAAGAGTGTTCACATTACTCAGTCTGCTGATGGTCTCCCATGGTACATTAATTAGGTTATTGTATGATATATCCAAGTCCTCCAATGTCTCCAAGAAGTCATCAAAAGCTAGGTGGGAAATGGTATGCAGCTGATTGTTACTCAAGATTAAATGGCGCAGGTTTGTCAAACCGCGGAATTGGTCATCACCTATAACAATGAGTCGGTTGCTGTCTACGTGGAGTGCCCGCAGTCGACTGAGGTCTGCAAAGGTATAAGGCATAATTTGGCTTATGGTGTTGCGGGACAGAGTCAAATGAGAGAGACTGGTCATGTTGGCAAAGTCTTTCCTTCTTAATATTGTGATGAAATTATCAGTCAACTGCAGCTCCATGGTTTGGTGATCAATGACTGTAGGAACAAAGAGCAGTCCCGTTTTGGCACAAACAATGGCAAAGGAAGGTGCCAGGTTCTGGCACATGCACCGCTTGGGACACAGCTGCCCTCGTACCAACAGACAAAGCATCAGGAGGGAGAAGATAATCTTGTCCATGTTCCTGTTGTCTGTAAGTGTGAGAAAAGGACATACAAGTCACTCAACAATTCAAGCAAAATTCCGAAAGGTGTAAAAAATGCAACATCTGGGCTTCTTTGAGACCTTTAAGATGCATTTTTTGTGCAAAAATCAAATGATAATTTATACACTCAGTGGCAACTCTATTCAGGCCTTGTTAAAGAGAGGTCAGAGGAGGACGTCAGACTCGTTAAAGCAGACAAAGAAGGCCAGAAGTGCAAAAATAACACCTCAGTACAACAGTGGTGGGTAGATTGTGCTCTCTAAAGACGCAATTCCTCTGCTCATGAAGTGGTCCTACAGGCAAAAATACATCCTACCCAATACTAGCTATGTATACGTAACAAAGTGACCACAGAGCGTTGGTCTACATCTCCTCTTTCTAAAAATTCTTAATTTGTCTGAACATTAAAATAATTTATATTTTATTTTTAATGTTTATTTTTAATACAGGATATATAATTCCATAAGGTACCTAATTTAAACTAAAATGAGATACTCAAGTTAAACAAATAAAATCAGCTGTTTAGCTTACTAGGTCTTCCAAGAAAAATAATGAAAGTTTAGCGAATTGGATTTCTAGAGCAACACAGTAATATTTAATGTTGCTCACTGCTCCTGCCTGAAATATCCGGAGGGTGCTAGTGTAATCGCCCCACTCTGTTCTCCAGTTCTCATGTCCCATGGTTCTGGCCACATCGGAAGAAAAAGGCGTTTTCACAGGTTAAATGGAAGTATGACTACCACAATCCCCGAAAAGAGGTCATTCTTTTTTTTTTCAGCAGTAAACTTTTTTCAAACCAAGTAACACTTTCTATAAATGCCTTATCTATAAGAATCTACAGTATGAACAACACATTATAATGCCTTCATAACGCATTATAAACATTACTATAAAAATTAAAAAAGGGCATAACACATTATATATTATTATCCATTATGAATGCTATATGAAGCTCTGATCTATAATGCACTATAGATACCTTCATAATGCAGTACAAAGCATCCTTAATTCTTATTCCAACCATTGTAATGCATTCTGAAGTTACTAATATCTACAGCAGTGCATTATAGATGAGCTTCATTTGACCTTATGCAGTATTATAATCAACACTACAATGCCTTATGGCTGTCAATAGAAGATGCTGTAATGGTTTACTAATTCTTATACAAACCATTGTAATTCATTATGAAGGTATCTATAATGAATTATAGATGACAGCTTCAAGTAAAGTGTTACCAAGTAGAGTGATGTTTGACTTCTCCAGGAATCCATGTATTTATTTAATCAATTTAACATTTGGCATTGAATTCATTCCCCTATTTCAATATTGTGATGGGATGATTGTACAGAAATCTACTTTGTCAGTTATAACTGACAACTAAACTCCTCTGCAGAGAGACAATACATTAAGTGGTGGAAGAAAACAAAATAAAGATTAAATGAAAATTGAAGGTTTTTTGCATGATGTCAGGAATATTTGGCTCTTCATATAATGTTGTCTTACATGCTAAAAAATTGAGCATAATTCTGACAAAGCTCCACGGAATAAAATTTCTGGTTTTGTTATAAAACCTAATAAGAGTGTTTGTTTATCTGTGTTGTGATACTTTCATCCATTCCAAGTCTAACTCATAATCCTTTTCATCTTATTTGGTTTTCATTGCATAACCTAGACACACACTCAACAAACAACCTAATTAGGCAATGAAACAAAAGAAAGTATGTGTAGCTATCTTAGACTCCACTGGTGAATGCAGCAAAGTAAACTGTGCTAAGAAGGTCTCTAATGGATGGTGGACTATACTCCATTTTGTCGTAACTCGACAATATATATCCATGTTAATGGATTGTGATTATTACAGATACGCTAATAGTTGCCATTGTTATCATGTTGTTGTGGATCGGAGACGAAAAAAGCTTTGTGAAAGTCAAATGCATTATCATATCAGACTATTTCCCTTTGTATAAATGTGGATTATTCTAGTATGCTTAAGTTGCCAGGGTATCAGCCTCCACAGCATTAATGGTATGTGTCTCACGAGACAATACTTACATGTATCATTGCCTAGAAACCTAGGTGAAGTATTATGAGCAGCTAATGCATTCACTCAATGTTCAGTGTTTCCAGGTAAATTGTTAGCTCACGTAATAATAACACAGTTTTTTTTGTAATCAATGATCATAAAATATTTCATTGATTTTCAAATGGATAGAAATTTAAGCCAATATGTCTTTATGATTAACCTGTTGCTGGATTTTTACCCATTTATTGTCTTCTATACCTTCTGCACCATTCTGTTCATACTGGATTAGGCCTTAGAAGATAGACGGATATATCGGTTACTCTTAAAACAGGATTCTCATTTTTAGTAATACATTCTTACATGGCAAATGTACTCTGATAAGTCCCTTTTCTAATGATTTTCTTTAAACTATTCTTTTAAATCATAGTAATAAGAAATTCACTATCAATGCCCAATTCTATCTTTGTTCATTGTATACATAAATTTGTTTTGGAAAAAGATGAGGTAAGCCATCGAGTTTTGCTGTCCGTAAGATCTAACCCCTCTTTAATAAATTAATGCAAGAAGAATGTAATTCTTGCTATAAAACTTGATCTAATCATGATGGCACTGCAGAGGTATCACTTAATTTTTATTCTGCAATATGCAATAAATTTAATCCCCTGCACAAGTATGCCTATCTTTATCTATAACTACATAATAATAAAAGTGATATTCCTACTTGGGTTCCTTTATCTATTTCATGGATCAGTTAAAATTCCAGTTTTGACACCAGCAAATGGCAATCAGCAGCGGGCAGGCCGACGGTAGCCATGGTTTCCTCATGGCTGGCTACAGGGAATGTCAACAGGACACGGCTGGTGGCCACTCAGTGTCCAAGCGCGGGGGTGGGACTGTCTGCTCAAATACAGCTTAAAGCCTGTGCTGGGGACTAGTTGCAAAGGAGGAAGAGGAGTAGGCAAGTTGTTGATGCTCCCTCTTCTTGCAGACCTAGACAGCCTGGTGGTTGACCTCTCTGAGAGGAGAGCAATCAACTGTGTACACCTGCTGGGGAGCGGGGCTCCCCCAGATTCAGTGATCACACCCTCTTAGTCACCACAACCTATATGCCTTCACTTAAATGACCAGAACAAATCTCCTGGGGGGGGGGGGTTGCCTGCACCCTCATTTCCTGGTGCCCCTTTGCCTGCCACGGTTAAATTTGTTCTGAAATTAAAATTACAGTCTGGTCTAAGACAGATGCATAATATCCTTCATAATAGAGTCTCTATTACTTTCTATGAGTGGTTTACAGTCTTTTGAAATACTGAAGCCCCTTTTATTCTGAATGTGATCTGGTAAAAGGCAGGACTGAGGGGGGATGACAGGCATTCAGAGGCCCCCTTTTCACGTTGACAGTCATCAGATAAAAGCTGTATATTCCCTGGAAAGTTTTGTCCTTTTAAATACAGGCAGTTCACTCATTGGAAGAAATGTTCAAGAAATTCATTGAATTCAGCGAGGAGAAATAATTGGGCAGGAATATTAAATATCTTTAAGCAGCTGAGCAGAGTACTTTTGTCTTGTCACATACAAGGGCTTCTGGTTCAGATAGATTATTTCCTTACAAAAGATGACTGTAAACCATGACGTTCACTGCGACATCGCCATAGCAAATTGAATCCAGTAACATGTAGATGGGCATGATAAAAGGGATTTGAGTACTGTGCTTATAGAAACAGGTGGGGATGGGCTCTAAACAACAAAACTGATGGAGGCAAACAAAGGGAAAACACATAAACACCTTTTTGTGACATGGTGCAGACGAATCAACCTCAGGGTGTTAAGAGCAGGTTACCGGAATCGGTGACGGGACTGGAATACTGGAAACATGGAGGGAAGTAAGACAGAAATTGGCACAATACAGGCAGTCCACGGATTAAGAACAATTTACAGACAACTTGTACTTATTAACAGACTGCCAGAAAGCCTATTATATTAAAAATTGGGGTTAAATACCACAGTTTATAATAATCAACACGCACTATTTTGTGACACTCATGAAAACATTGCGCGGGTTTAGCAGTTTGTTAGCTCCAGGTACAGTACAGGATGTATGTGGTTACTTTTAATACTGCTGTATTCTTCTTCTTATTATTATTATTATTATTTCATACTGTACTATTATTTTTCCGACTTACCTACAAATTCGACTTAAAGACAGACTTAGGGAACGGATCTCGTCTGTAACCTGCAGACTGCCTGCATTATAAAACATGTAAGCTAAACCAATAAAATATTCCTGCTCGTTGCCCTCCCCTTCTGTGATGACCAACAGGAATAGGTTCCATTCAGCTGGATGAACACACCGGCCATTTTTCATGTGTAGTTACCCCAGATAGATCATTTCCATCTGAGAGGAACCACAAGCTTCTCACCGTTTTTTCCCCTTGACCTGTTTTAGCAAGCAGGAGCGGCACATACCTGTAGTTAGATTAGTAGGTTAGTGGTGGTGAAGGACTTGAAGATGTAGATGTTTGTGCTGGTATTAGTGATTGACTAGAATTGCTTAAAAAGAGTATAAAGAATACAAAAGCTGGGAAATTCTAACATTATGTAATCATAATTTCAGAGTAATTATCAAAATAACTCAGTACTATACTGTACTGTAACTCGAGCCGATGAACCGCTGAAGGTGCACCAAGGTTTCATGGACGTCACAAAATAGTGCAAGTGTTCATTATTATGAACCATTGTATTAACCCACATGTTTAATACAATAGGCTATATGGCAGTCCATTCATAAATATGAGTTGTCTGTAAGTCAGGCATTCTTAACCCATGGACTGCCATTTTGCTCCACCAAAGAAATAACCATGTCTCAAATCTCATTCCCGAATGACTGGAATACAGTGGGGGAGTTAGCGAGCCGATACGGCATAAGCACATACTCACAGTGCCCCCTGGTAGTGGTAAACACGATTTCGCATTAGTCCTCTCAGTCTGAGTGGTTTATAACGGTGCCTAAGGGTGCACAGCACCTTCAAATTAATAATGTGCACCCTCTGGTGGAAGTCAATCTGTCCATGACTGCGGAAAGAGGGCAGCAATGGTACCCCCTCACTAATTTTAGATGCACACTTAGTAAATTTAGTCAATTGTGATGAGATTAAATGTGCTACACTCTCAGAAGAAAAGGGTAAAAATGTGTACCTTTCCTTGTCACTGGGGCTGTACCTTTGTAATTTTACCTTTTAAGGTACAGAAATTGACTCTGTGTAACACCCCAAAGGTGCGAACTACGTTAACGTATCATCAATGTTATAGAAATGTTCCTCAGAGTCCATTTCTGTACCTAAAAAGGAACAATTACCTACAGCTAAGTGTACAATTGGCAGATCCTTGAGGGTACAGCAAAAGTAAGTACCCTGTTTCTAAGAGTGTGTGAAAGTCTAACTTTATAAAGATGTAGCAGTCCAGACATCTCCCAAAGCTTTGTGAATCAGTGGAAGAGGGTAATGGATCTTAATTCTGATCTCATTGAAAGACTGATAATTGATGTAGGAACAAAATCCCCCAACCCTATTCTTTAGACAAACTTGGAAAGTGGAAAAGGATGTTGATGATCGGATAAATTCCAGTGCAAGGGCCTCCTCAATCTATTGATCCATAGTCTTTGATTCTCATGTGTGTAACATGTAGACCCAACCCAGTAGAGAGAGAATCTCATGGGTGATGAGGCAGGAGTGGGAATGCCTTGGTTTTTCTGGGGACATCTTTTAATTGTAAGGCCTCTGGGGAAATCAGGTTGTTTAGTTAGTACTGGAATTCTCAGTGAAAGTGGGTACTGTTAGATGTGGGCAAATGCTTACAGCAATGCTCAGATCCCCATGCCAGTAGCTCCCTGTGTTTCCTGGAGAATACCAATTTGAATTGAGCCTGGGGTTCTGTAGAACCAGGGGGCTCCTTGGAGAGGAGACCTCCCCCCCACCCGCAACAGGTGAAGAGAGTCTGGAATGATGAGAGTTGATGGAGTTGTAGCTCTGGAGGTACGTTGCCATTTGAAATGAAGGCTAATCAGATCAACATCTCAGCAAATTATTCCTGCTTAAGCATCCTGTTTAGCTTCTGATAATATATGGTGGGGCTGGGCTGGCTCACTTCCTATGGCCAAAATCCAAAATTCCACAGTGTATTTTGATGCTGGTTGATCCCTGCCGTACTGCATAACTGGATTCCTAAATTCCTGGGCCAGCCTTGTGACATTCAAAGACTTCTTTGAAGAAAGCATAGAATCACGTCTTGGATATTAATGAAGTGCATTTATATGTAATAGATCACCCCAGACCTGTTCCCATCAACAATAATATAACAAAACCAATCTTGTCCCAATCGGTTCTCAACATTTCAATGTACATTGAACTCTGCATTAGATAATGTATGCACATATTGCAAATACCACTGTAATTTTCTGTGGTAATGGTAAACAGAGCAGACATCTGTGGGACGGAGTTAGCAGACACAGCACCAGGACTGGACAAAGTGGGAATGCTCACATGCCCTTAGGGAGCAAACAATGCTTGGAAATTCTCATAAATTAATTGGATTAATTCACTTGGTTTCTCCTTGTCACAGGTCAGTCTTGCTTCTAGTTCTGCTGGATCCATGGTGGCGAATTACTCCGTAATGACTGGACAAGTGTGGGTGCCACAAGTTCATTTCAAGAATTGTAGTCCACAAACCAGCAGAGAGCCAAAAACAAGGTAGAGATAATCAAAGGCGGACAAACCCAAACCCTGATCCAAATCCATAGTCCAGAAAGTCACAAAATCGACAAGGAGTACTGGGTCAATAGCCAGATCGAAAAACTATGTGCTTGTATACCAAGCCAATCAATCAAGTTTATGAGCTACAGGTGAGCTTTAGTATTCAAGGGAGGCACAGCAGGAACTGACTGGACTTAGCTGGATGGACATGACACATACAGTATCTAATAAAAACTCAAAAATGGTTGCTGACATTCACGAATCAATGAACTGGTATGAGCAAAGGGGTTCGACTAATCTATAATCTAAGTATTAACTTATCAGGCAGAGGGTGCAAAAAATGTACAATTAGGTGGATGGTTTTGGAAGCACAGAAAAATCTAAAACTACAATTACAGCTATCCTCCTTGCTAAGAGACACTAACATAGAACATAGCTTTCAGCACATGTATCAACAGTGGCTTTGGCGTCAAAAATGTAAAGATCAGACTTACCGTAAAATATGGTGGTGTATCTTTGATATCATGGGACCGTTTTATGTCCACTGGTCCTGCAGGCCTTGTGAAGGTCATCAGCAGCATAAACTAATCAATCACCAAAAAAAAATCTGTTAAAGTTTCCCCATCTGTCCAATGTCAATTCCGTCATTACTGAACAGGTGACCAAATGGCAGAAAATTATCCTGGTGGCAAATACCAGTTCTGACTTTTGCCCATTTGGCTACGGTTCACTAAAGTGATTTAACAGAGAATTAAACATATGTCTAATCAACTTTTAATTTCAAAGTATAAACCCTCTAAAACCCAACACATGTCAAACTCATTATAAAATGTAAAAAATTTGGAAACCAATAGAATAATCTCACGATTCAACTAATAAAAGGCTTCTGACCATGAAAGGAGAGTATTTCTCTTATGGAAAGTTGTTTATCCACTGGGTAAGAAAGCCTTAGAAGCAGTGTGCGAAATATCCTTCAGTATTCGGGGGGGGGGTCCTCATCTCCCTATTGTTGCGCAATACTGATCTTGAGACCCCCTTAAAATTTTACTTTTGAGGCTTTCAGGGGGTCTCATGGGTTAATCGGGGGTGTCGGACCTCCCTGGACCCCCCCGTATTTCACACACTGCTTAGAACTTTACAAACATATATAACTTCATAAACAAGTAAAGAACATTTATAGGGTAACTTGAGGTTTGATAGTTCATTTTTGCAAATCCTCATTATTCAGACTGCCTGGAAAACACATTTATTTGTTTAGTCTTTTATCCAAGTGCAGTGACAGCCAGTCCTGGAGGCCATTGGGGTTAAGGGCCTTGCTTAACGGCCCAATGGTGCAAACCATGAAAATTGAACTGTCGACCATCCGATCACTAGCACAGCATACTAACCTGCTGAGCCACAATCCCCCAGAAAGCCATGGACAAAATAGCATATATGCAGTTTGTCCCATGTTGCCTTATGCAGACCTCACCCCTAGCATGAGGTCATCCTGAAGAGCCAATAAAAGATGCAGCAGTTTTAAAGTGGATGATCCAGCAATCTTCAGGGAAGTCTTTCCTGAAGCTTAAGAGAGCTCACTAGAATGAATATTGGAGACAAGTATCACCCATCTCGAAATGGCTGTTAGGTTCACTCAGATATACCAGTGCTGCAGATTAAACAGGTGGTGACCACGTGTTTTTCGAGAATGAATGAGTACTAGCCTGCAGTATTTGAGGCAGGGTTGTCCCTGTCTAAGTCCAGTCCTCTCAATCCATCACAGAGTCTCCACGATCCAGACATTTGTCTATCAAGCTTCTGAGTCCCATAACTAAGGCAAAATGAGCATTATTTTTTAGTTGACTGAATTTCTTCTCTCTCCATCTGAAATGTTGCACGTTCCCCAGATTTCATGGTCAACAGCAACTTCAGCCTTTATAGCATACAAAGCATCTCCTGTCATTTGCCTCCTCTGATCCCACGAATTTGCCAAGGATCTCCACTCTTGGGTTGTGTCACCAAATACCCATCTTGCTCCTTCCACAGCAGTTCATTTTTCAGGTTTTTATCCATCTGGGGATAAAGACACAAATAAAACAGATGTAACAGATGAGTGTATTTTCAATCCAGGGTACAGAACATCCTGACTAAGATGGTTGTCTTGTGCCGCATCATGATGACTAACAGTAATAGACTAATCTACAAAGATATCCTAGACCCAACCAAAACAAAAACAATCTTCTCTTAGACTCATCCAACTCAGAATCTCCAGTAGGGAGAATATCACTTAATTCTTATTAGCAATGAAATATATGGCCTTTACTGGGTTAGCACTTTTTGCACCTCAACCTTGTACAAACTGTGTACTACAGTTGGTTGGATTTGCTTCCAACGTCCATCTCTACCTGATACTGTGAGGAAGCTCCACCATAGTCACCAAATCTGTTCCCACTCCTCTTTACGTTGTTCAAACAGGTCTATTTCTTTTGTGAATATGTGTTTTGGTCACTGCACTTCATAGAAAAGGTGCAGCAGATGCTCTCAATCGGAACAAAACTTTCCTGCACTGCTTGCTAGCTCTCTGTATTCTGGTTGACTCACTCTTCTACCCTGCCAGCCATTGTACATGTTCACATATGCGGCCCTTTTTGGCCCATTGTTATTGGTCTAATATTTCATATTTTAATATTTTTTAAGTGTAAGTGGTTGAGTCATTTTAATTTTTGGGGACTACTAACACCAACAAGATAAATATTACTTCCATCATTAGCAAAGGTCTGCAGCAATATTGTTCTTTGTATACATGTCCCACTGTGAAATTCTACTCATCCATCATTGAGATATTCTGACCACCACAATTACTACCTACTCCCCCCCCCGCCATCCCCCACCTCTCTCTCTCTCTGTGACCAGGCTGTAGTAGGTGATCTTCTCCACTGAGAAGATCACTGGCTGTGAGCCACTGGCAATAAATATCTCTTCACTGCCAGGGCGAAGAAGCGAGTTGGCAAGATTACTGCTGATCCCACCCACCCCAACAGGAGGTACACTGCCACTTGGACTACACACTATCGCTGCAGTTTTTTTCTAAGCTCGTCAACAAACTTATCTCATGTAAACACCCCCGACAGACACATACAGACATTCAGGTCTTCTTTACCACAATCACAACATCTATTCATTTCTCTTCTCAGATGTGCATCGCTGTTATTTGTAATTACTGTTTGTGTCACCACTACGTCATGTTACACATCATGTTGCCTTGTACTCCTATTGTTTTACACAATGTTAGTAAGTTATCTCTTGGCAGTTATTCTTGTGGGTTATGGTTTTACATTTGAATTGTTGTGCTACATCGGTATATTATTATCATTTTTTTTTATTCTACGTTGAACCACGACCAATTCCTTTATGTTTTACATACTGATAATAGTTTTTTTTCTGTGTACTTATTTAATTTAAATAATTTTATAATAATCGTGATAAAAATGTATGTAGATTGAAAGTCATTTAATATGATTAGACCAAAAAGTAATATTTTTTTATAATTATTATTCAAGAAAGCAAGTAAATATATAGAGAGGACAAATTAAAATGCGTATTTTGTGTAATAACTGGACATTCAAATGGGTCAAGAAAAGCCTGGAAAACAAAATTGTGTCATTATGTGTCCTGCTACAGCAAACTTAATACAATGGAGCAATTTTGGTTTGCCGTTTTCATCCATGCCTCACATGGTGACATGTTCTCTCAAGACAGGCCATTTTAGAGGATGATAAGGTGCATAGTAGTGAGTCAGATTCTTTCTTCTCTTGCAGTCTTGCTAGAAATTTCCACTCTTTTCTTGTATAGTTACAAAGAGAGCCTATGCCACAATCAACCGTCTTTTTCTACAATGTAGACCACACCAACTGCAATTTTCCCACAAAAAAAATCCAAAAGTGGAAGGTTATACAATATACCGCAGTCATTTCGGATATATTTTTCTATAAGCTTATAGATGATTTGTACACAGGATCCATTCATTAAAGTAATGTCAAAAATTAGGCCTATTTTTTTGTACATATACCAGTTGGCAAACATGCAGTTAACACTTGCACCTTGTCCAGTTTAATTTATTCGTGTTTTTTTGGTGGCTATAATGTTTTTGCTTTTACAGGCAATTCAAGTAATGCAGTTCCACAACATTTAATAATAAATGCCTTCCCGAAACATTTAATAATGAAACAATTATTGGATTACACTGAGAAGTGTGTTTAAGACCTTGAATAAAAATAAATTATGTAAATACAATGAAGATTATATCCTGTTCTCTCTCCATACCATCCAGGTGTTCATTCTCTCTGCACTCATTAGTTGGCCTAATAGGACACTCCTCTATATAATCACCATTATATTCATTCCTAATTTAACAGTGATGCTATGCAGCACTGTACACACTATGATCATGACAGATCTACAATCAGGTCTGAATCTGAGGTTTGAATCCTCCATTGTCTACATCCCTATGATGTGTTCCAGTATGCTACACATTCTGTTCTGTGTTCTGTTGTGCCATTCTTTGGCTAATGTCTGGAGATTAGCAACAGGAGATAGGAGATATGACTGCCGTCATTCGATAACCAGTCACCACTAAATTCACTCTCCTTGCCACCATATCGTAGAACATTTCAAGGCTGTAAGTGTTCCGGCCTCCACAGCAAAGATGCATACACTGTATTTCAGTGTGTGCAAATATAAATCAGAGCTCCTTCTCACATTTATCTTATGGCAGGTTACTGGAACCTTGCTTTTGATGTCTTGTTCTTGATAAGACAATCATGTTGCACACGAAACTCACCAAGCTTGTCTCAGACCGGACCAAGTAATTAAATTGTCTTTTTTGTAATGGAATCATAAACTGTATGTCCCTCTCAATGCATTCAGTCTCCACCAACTCAATTTCCATCAACTTGATTGTGTGGCATTAAGTTTCTATCATATTATATTGAATCCTATTCTAAATATATTACACTTTAGTACATGTCATGCTGTAAAAAAAAAAACCCATATAATTGGAAAAACACATGTTGTTCAGAATGCGAAAAACATCATTTCAAACAAAAATTCGGACAGGGCACAATCATGACGGATGCAACCCCTGCCTGTTGAAGTACAGCATGCCGCAGCTGATTTGCAAATGCACTTTATGATTAACAACTGCGTTGACTGGCTTATTATGTAAGGACATAGAAAGCACATGATGTTACGTACAGGGGGGGGGGGGTTGTAAATGCTCATATTTTAGCGACATACTCGAGATTTTGATGCATTTCACACTTTGATGCTTTAATGAAACTCACCTCTGAAATTTATATCAATAATATAAGCTGTCTGCTGCTTTTATGGGGTGTAAATGTTTTGTTCTCTTAGATATGTGGGTCGATTTTGGATTCTGTGGAATCTAAGGATTTTAAAATATGGTACAACATAAAACAGTATATTTTAGAACTAAGATTTTGGAAATCCAGCATCCTAATCCTAATCCTAATCAATCCAAATCACAAACACCTATAGCCTTTAGCCAAAATACATCACATAGCAAATACCACAAAGTATCAATGGCCTGCACTAGAACATAGCTACAGTATTACTGAAGTACATTTGAGCATCACTGTGTGTCTCTAGTTTCTAACAGTATATTGCAAAGTGTAAAAGTTTTATAAACCAGACTACATACGAGTTTCTTAAAAGTCAAGGTCATAACATATCATTACATTATCTAAATGTCAGCTTATTAGAGATGTTTAGCCCTGTACAATTTGTTTCATGTAATCAGGCATCTTACAGTTCCATCTATGTGATATTAATTATGCATTTAAAAAATGTGGCAGATTTTTAATTCTTTTTAAAAATAGTGTTAGCTATCAAACATTAAGATTTCTCAGCAGTTAAAATCATTCTCGTTCCTATATGCAGATTTTTTTGTGCTCAAAACTGATGTTGAAATACTTTGCAGGAATTACCACTGCTGAAAGAATACTGTGGGGTATTTAAGATTTCAAAGGATTGTTTTGTTGGAGGGATGATCAAATTTTAAATCTTTGTTCCAAAATTTACATTTAAATCTTCATGGCTAATTTGAGATTACTTCTATTAAATTTGTAGACAGACATTTGGAATTAAAAAATAATTTCTAGCCACACTTCTACATTTTCTTCCTTCACATAATATCCACAAATATACTAACAGTTTTTAGATGAGAGGGAATCAGTTTCTGTTACCAAGGAAATGTCGACAAAAATAATAACGGTTCCACCAATTCGTCGAGGGAAAGATAAGACAGCCTTATCTATGCTATCAGTATAGTGTTATCTAGATCATCTCTTAATATTTTTAAATATTTTTTTATTAGTACAATTATATTAGGCTATTAAATATCCCAAAAATTTCTTTGTATATTTGCTATAACATAGGCCTATAGGCAAAATGCCAGTGTTAATTCCCCCGTATTTTTACGAACGATACTATAAACAAAAGTACAACGTTAATAATTATCAGTTACAAAACAACCACATATATAACATAACTACTTCTTTCCTCAAAGCTGTAGTAGGAATGAAACATCCGCGACAGCAAAGCCCGAGACAGCGCCACCAACGCCCCTAGCGGTGGCCAGCGGTACGACGTTTCCATACGCTGCATCGTGAAATGCGCAGTTTACTGCGATTTATACATTAGCAGTTGAGCTGTAACATATTATAATGTAAATTACAAATCACTTTTTAAAGTGACTCCACGTTAACGGCGGGAGCTATTTGCACAGTGACGAACAAGCGACAACATTAATCACATCAAGGTAGCAGGATCGACCAGTCGAAGGTTTGTGTAAAGAAAAATGAACCATAAATACGGTTGCTGCTGGTGAATCATTAAAAATACAAGATATAATTCACATATACAAGACATTCTGTTTTCTCGTTTGATATTCGTATGCCTACCGTTTATCTCACATGGTTAAATGTAGGCTAATAGTAATTCTGTAAACCCATGAAATGATCTTTATGAAATTCCATGTCGCATAGGTAACTATTACCATTGAATTCACTGCACTACACGCTAAAACGTAAAATATTACTTAACGTCTTATGTTCGCTTGCAGTAAAGGTTTAAGTTTGGCACAACTAAGAATAAAATATCAAGGCAGGGGCTGTCTGCTGCGCCATTATTGTAGTTGTTAGATAAACGCCCAGATCCAGTGTAGGCTAAATTCATGGCAAATGAAAAGCGAAAGACACGGTAAACTTAAAATGTCAATGTTTTACGAAAACGAATTAAAGTTTATTAGGTTTTATATTTGCACAACTTTGTTACCAACGCTATAACCTTTAGGAATAATTTTATAATTTTCTTCTGACACGAATATGACAATACCAACTCCGAAGATCCATACACATCTACACAACAATTAATCCATCTTACTTAATAAATACAATTAATGCTCGTCGCTTAATTGTGACCTTTCTTATGGCTAAGGTTGTTTGTTATACAAGACTGCCTTTAGTATCCGACATCTGATTTATATTCCGCTAGATTTCGCTAAATTTGGACAATGAACTGTGCTGTGTACAGATTTATCCCGCAGTTCATTGTGAAATGATTAAATGCATAAGCTGTTATGTAAGCAAGCTTGAAAACATTGCCCCTTGCAAGCATTTATTTTATTTTTTATCACGGCACCGCTACGTAAACATATAGCCACGTTGTTGTTTTGTACCTATTACAAAGCTTTTATCTAAGTCCTAAGGCAAAAATTAATCATTATGTATATATGTATTACGAGAATTTCCTCTTAAAATCAACCATTACCTGTAGGACGGTACTTTGAGAGAATGAAGGAATGAATTTATTAATGAAGGAATGAATGAAATATGGCACTGAAACGCTTACAACAGTTATGTGTACATCATTCATTGAGAATGCTTCATTTTCGCATCGACATTTCTATTCCCCGATGTTCGCGATTTATAAAAAATCGACATAGTGTTAAAATGGTAGCGACGTATTACTTCTTGGTTACAGAAATACCCCGTTTTCCGTGGAGGAATGGCAGCTGGGCACGAGCATCCCCGGATTCACACACAGCTCTTGAACAGCAGTAATTGCATCCGTATCCTATACCTTTTCGAGGCCAGTGCACGATTAAATCCATTTTATTGTCTTTGAGGGTGCAGATGGAAATGAAACGGCGTTCCCCGAAGAAATGTACAGTTCTCGATTTTTGTAGTTTAAACCCAATTTCTCCAAGCCTTGTAGTGTCTAGTGCTGTTTCTGAGCAGAAGAATCCGCTTCATGGTACATCCTCAGTGTCTGATACTGCATCCCGTCCTATCTGTTGCGGCAACTATACGCTTTTATTAGATCTGGACCTTCCCCTTGAGAATGATAGTTCGGCTGAAGGAGTAGGTTACCGCAGGCTTTGCAGTTTCAACACTTAGTTATCTCCAAAGCAACTTAGGGAAATTACATTTTTACTTAAAACTGTCCGTCAAATTGAACTTGTTTTTATTGGATTTCCCTGCTGAGGTAATAGATAAGGTTATGTTTCCCAAGAATTACAATCAACTATAGAAACTTTACATTCAGAAATTTAAATGTGCGTGTTTGTGTGTGTGTGTGTGTGTGTGTGTGTGTGTGTGTGTGAGAGAGAGAGAGAGAGAGAGAGTGAATGTTTTCTTGCCTCACATTGGAGCCCCTAATCCCAAATGAGCATCATTTGAATTTTGCTGCGGACCATGTGCATCCATTTATGGCCACAATTTACCCATCTTCTAATGGTTACTATAATGCATTGATGTACTGAATAATGTTGTTATACAGTCATACTCAAGTTATAAAACGTCTGTAGCAAAGAGCATAAACAGTATTAAATGAATCTGGGTGTCTTTGGCTTAGCACAGATGAAAACATATTCCTATAAATCTTTTAGCACACTTAATTTAATAAATGCAGAGGTATTACAGCAGTTGAATGGGAGGCACCTGTAGCCCAGAATGTCCAGGTTTGGGGGTGTGAACTTCCACAAACCACTGCAGCTTAGAACAGCTAAGGTCCTGCATGCAAACTCCACCGCAGAAAAATGCATGGTTTAGGTGAATTTGTATTTCTACACCATGTCTGACTTTGTGTGTGTTGGCGTGCTTCTTGACAAATCTTTAACAAAACCCTTGACTAGGTAGGTTTTATGGATAATAGATAAAGCACCTAGACACGCATGTTACGCATTGAAGTGTCAGGCGAGGAATACAATTAGCGGAAAATGGGTTCAAAAGAGCATCACCAGGGTGATTGAATCTCTGTTTTTAATACAAACTAGCTTTCTTTATTAGCTCCTAGCCCACCTGCTCCAGAAGTACCAGTAGCCATCAGTTACTAATACATATAAATCTTATCATGCCCTCTATAAAACAGTCATCAGTTTTCAGGGTACTACTACAGCATGTACAGGGAGAGTACTGCCAGTAGCATCATCAGCACTTAGACGTTAAGCGGAACAAGAGTTTCTGCATGGCTCACATATTTCTGACGACGCACTAAGTCCCTCGGGGCCTGGTTACGGTTCAGTAGCACCAGCTCTGGGTCAAAGTCTGAGGTCTGGGTCAAAGTCTGAGGTCTAAGGCCTTCGACCTTAAGCCCTCTGCACTCCAGTCACCAAATAAAATGACACATCTCGTTATCACACCACGTCTGTTGCAGTAGACAAGGTACTATTTATTGGGGAGTCAGTGGTTATGAATATTGGAATTCATTAAAAGAATTCTACATCAAAATAACTGAATTTTCCTATTCGTCCATCTCAGAAACAACCAGTCGTTTTAAGTAAGACATTCAAATAGTAATACATTGAAAGCCAAATTATAGTTCTAAAACAGCTGTTCAAAAGTTCATTGACAAGCAGTCTCACTAGATACTTTTAACTTAAATTAGTAACACCTCTGCAATAGCATAAAACAGTATCCCTTTGGGAGCCAATGGTTTCAATTGCAATTGATACCAAAAATGGCAAGAACTAAATGAGTCAGTCAAAAAATGATGACACTTCATGAAAAGAAAATGTAAATGGGGAAGATACTTTATGTGCAGGTATATTAAGCATATATTGCTTGTCAGTGGATTTTTGTTATGAAGCCATTTAATTAGCACCATTTTTTTACTGAATTAAGAAATTGCACAGAAAGACTTTCTGTGAGCATTATTTCTGTGCCCAGGGTCAGTGTGGAACTGATAACAACTTGAGAAAACCTGCGTGGAAAACAGCACAGGAGAGGACAAAATCCCTAACATCTGTGAGGTACGTCCAACAGAACTTTCAGGTTAATAGCTTGGAGTTACAAGTTATGTATATTACACTCAAGGATGTATGCACCCATTGAAGAAGCTGGGGTTGAATGTTGATGCATAGGTCTTGCTTGAAGGGGTTTCTGGGAGTCAGTACAAGGGACCTCATGTAGAAGGTCCATAAGCTCCAGTCTAAGGGGATTGAATTTTACTGTGGATTCTGAGCTGTACACCATGGGTATACCCTTATATGGTCATGTCAGGAGAATACTACAGTTTTGCCACAAGATGGCATCATTACCACACCATTATCTTTTTGCTGCAGCTAGTTTACCTGTTGCTATAATAGTGTGCAGTGCTGTGAGTGTATTTTTGCCATCTTGCTCATCTGACTTCCTCTGCTGGCCCCTGGAGGATGGGCTCCCCCTTTGGGTCTGGTTCCTTCCAAGGTTTCTTCCTTCTAGGGAGTTTTTCCTTGCCACTGTCGCCTCTGGCTTGCTCACTGTGGGCTTTGGGCCAGATAATGTAAAGCACACTATACAAATAAAATTTATTGAATACCTCCTGATTTTCCATTTTATCACAAGCTTTGAAAAATGTTCCTCTGTGTCCTCTGTCTCACCCTAGATGTTGTCTGCCTTGTACTTCCTGGAATAGTATTCATGTGTTAGATAACCCATCATTTAAGACTGGTATCAATTCTTCCATTTTCTTCCACATTGGTTTTCGTTACAGGTTTGTCCATGAATGTGTCCAGTTTTGTGATGGGTCACAGTATGAAGGTGTTGACAAACTGATATGGTTTCTTCTCAGATAAGTGGAGATACCACAGCGCATGTTTGTTAGACGCTTATTTATCTGGTAAAACCCATCACTACAGAATGTGCTAAGTTTATCGTGTTTTTCATAATCAGATTTTTTGCACAAACATCCTGAAATTTTACACGGTTTTTAATACATTGACAGTCTCCGAATGTTCAGGAAGCAGTTTAACGTTTGCTTGTGTTTTCCTTTTAAAAATGGCTTTCTCCGTCTGCTCATCTTGAACGGAATTTCCATTATGGTCACACTGTCTATGCCTTCCTAGCAAAGCAGGGAGTTTTATTAATGTAGTTTCTTTGTGCATGTACTTGCCTTTCTGCAAGTAAAAATGTGGACTGTCTGGGATCCCCAAGACCCGGGTTGGGAAGCACGTCCCCAAAATGCACAGTGCTGGGCAGGAAGTATAAACCACAGTATAAATAAGTAGTTTATGAATATAAAAATTATATAAGTGTAAACCATGCTGACAATACCATGTCCAGCAGAAAGGCACATTTTTGCTCGCTCCCAGCTATTTGTCCAACAGTCCACATTTTTGCTCCCTCTCAGATATTTGTCCAACAGTCCACGTTTTTGCTCGCTCCCAGCTATTTGTCCAACAGTCCACGTTTTTGCTCCCTCTCAGCTATTTGTTCAACAGTCCACGTTTTTGCTCCCTCACAGCTATTTGTCCAAAAGTCCAGGTTTTTGCTCCCTCACAGCTATTTGTCCAAAAGTCCATGTTTTTTCTCCCTCACAGCTATTTGTCCAACAGTCCACATTTTTGCTCCCTCTCAGATATTTGTCCAACAGTCCACGTTTTTGCTCCCTCACAGCTATTTGTCCAACAGTCCACATTTTTGCTCCCTCACAGCTATTTGTCCAACAGTCCACATTTTTGCTCCCTC